GATTTTTAATTTCAAGTGATTAACACGTTTGCACCTACAGGGTTGCAGGTAAATAAAGGGTGACCTAAAAGCGCTTAGTTTTAAAAATGAATTAGAATGGAAGAAACATGTTTTTTACTTGTTGGTAGGGGCAAATAACACTGTTGTTGTATCAATCACTAACTTTGCTTTTACTGTGCTAAGCTTCAGTAGTTGAGTAGTCTCAGCAAATTTTCATTAAACGATTTTCACTGTTCACTCTTCAAATATATATAACGACTTCCTCAAAAAATCTGTCAGTATTTAACATAAGGGCTTAAGATTCGTAATACAAAACAACAAAGAACCACATAAGTTTGGAAAGTAATCTATTGGTCAACCCTGTAAATCACTTTTCCCCATAATATTTCCAATAATTTCTATGAAAGTTTATTAACGTGAAAGTAGAATGTTAAGTTAACAGGCAATTAAAGCATTAAAAACACATTAAGCATCTCGTCATTAGAAAACTAGCGAGGATCAACGCTAAAAAACTCGTTTTGTCGTAAACCTCTCTAACCAGTTAAAACCAGATTACAATCTCTTCTTAAAGCTTGGTACTTAATTTTACTTATGGAAAAAATATGAATAGTCACATATAATTGTTTTACATGGTGCTACAGTAACCGGGGCTTCCAGCACGTTTTTTCAAGGGCGCCAGAATTTCGCTTTGTATATTCGGAACAATGAAATAGACTTTATATTACGGTTAGTTTACCGTTTGGCAATTGCTCTGGAAAAGCTACGTCGACGGGTTCTTCATCAAGAAAAAAAACGAAATTTATTGAGTACAAATCTTATAAGCACATCTACCGATGGTGTGAAAATGGATGAATTCGCTCACTCCCCATATAACGGTACTGTTAAAAACTACTAAAAGTGCGATAAATCAAAAACAAAATACATCAGAGACATTATATATTACCCACCATGAGAGGCGTGGCACCGCCCACTTTTTTGTGAAATACCATATCTCGGGACCCGACTAACCGATTTCGACAAGATTTAGTACATGGCATTCTTCTTATATTTTTGTGGAGGAAGTCGGACAACAACCACGTCTACTTCCCTACTAGTTTCCAGTATACAAATCAAGAAGCAATTAATATAACGGGATAAAACTTTGCACGAATAATATTCTTAGTATGTGCCACCTTATGACTAAAATTAGTTTAAATCCAATAAAAACTGTTCAAGTCCCTATGTACCGAATATTTAAATCTCGCGACCTATAGTGCACTTTTGTCGGTCAATGTGGAATATATATAACTGAAATTTATGGATAATCCTTTTCTTATAATGATATTTCAATATGTCAAACATGAGTTGAATCGGACCAATACTTCCCTTAGCCCCCATATACCTAATATAAAGATTTTCGAACTTCCAGATGACTTTACTCTATATGATTGGTTTTTTGCCTTGAGGTATTTCCCCGGGTTTGCTTCTTGAAAGTTGCAAGAGTATAAACTGTGAACTTGAATATTCTCTGGTAGTCTTCAGAGAAAACAACTTGTGAACCTGGAGTTTTGTTAGAAGGGCGATTAATCGATTTAAGATACGTGGGACCAGTTATTTTTTGTTAACACAGCAAACATCACCAAGGTTATAATGTTTCGACTGCCCAGAAGCATTGAATATAAATTAAAAGAAGCTCGATGTATGGGTGAAACACGAAGAAAAAACCTCATTGACCGAATTTCCATCTGCGATCGGCTTCTGAATCAGATGATTTACGGATTTACGGCCTATGTTGAATCCAATTAACATGGTTATGCTAAGTGTCGTGTGGGATCGGCTAGGAATCGTCTAATATAAGCTGTTTCCTTACGGCCAAACTCTTGGACCTGTACTGTCAGCATATGGATCGTCCGTAGGAAGCGGTCGCTCACCAAGTGATTACTACCTATTCCTGCCTATGGCGTAAATATATACTGCGTTATACTTTTCTTTCAAAAGTTCAACTTACATATTACATAGTTTAAGTTTATACACTTGATTTGTTCTTCTGCGCCAAAGCTAAGTTATTTGCTTTGCAGGCATTTGTCTCAATTCTTGGCCGATCGTGAGTCATGAACGGAAGCTACTGCTTTTCTAAAGTCAATAGCGACGTGTTGGAACTGCAAAGCGCCAATTATTATCTAGTTTTGTCTGTAACTGCTTTCAGATTTCTTTGTTGATTCGATTTGTGTGGCGTTTATTTGCGGTTTTATTATTAATTACTTTTACATTTCTTTTTTCAATTGACGTAAGAAATGACAAAATGCGGATTTTATCAGTTAATTAAATTTCTATGCATTTTTTTTTATAATATTATAGATGCTAACGAAAGCACCCACAGGTGTAGAAAACATATTTATATGTTTGTTTTGTGTTTAATTAGCAATTACAATAAACTAATCTATTCGAAAACGAAGTAAATACACATATTTCAGTGAAATTGATAATAAATTATAATTTTTATTTGCTTAACGTTTAAGTTTGTTAATTAAGTGAGCTTAACTAGGCTTTTGATTGCGGGTATATGTTTACGTATATATGTATGTTTATAAATGTCTTGTTTGGATTTCTGTAATGTAAATAAGAATTTTTTAAACGTGTTTTCGTAGTGCCCATGGCATTCAAGGGAACTTAATAATTAATTACAGTGGGTGGTAGAGTTAACACGGAGCGTAAATAAGATTTTTTATTTACATACATCGCTTGACATACTACAAAGTTGTCACAACTCGAAATTGGAAAATATTCAAAAGGAACAAACAAAAGAAAGTTCTGTAAAAAATAATAAAATTTTAAAGTTGTTGCCGTCGTTTATAATGTAAAACATCTTATTTAAGGAGCGTTTACCATCAATATGATTAAGTATCCAGTTTAACAGAGAAATTAAGATCCATCTTTGAGTTAAGACATCGAATAACAGTGTGATGTACACAATTGTTTCATAGAAAGTGACACATTACAAAAAATTCAGACGATTAAACACACTTTTTTCAGATATCCTCTTTAGTTAATATTGTACAAGCGTCGCAATTAACATAATGGGTGATCCCGTTAGAGGTAATTTTTTCAATCGAGCTTCTTTTCATTTACAAATTGTTCAACTTTATTACGAAAAATCACTGACTTATGGAATGACTTGGTGCATTTTGAGTTGAGATATTAAACCGAAAGCATACAAAATACAGCTTGTACAAGAACTGAAGCCACTCGACCTTCACATGCGACTTCGCTTCGATCTATGGGCTCTTGAATAGCTCCAAATCGTCTGACGTTTTCAAGCTAAATATTGTTCAGCGATGAGACCCAGCTCTGGATCGACAATCAAAACAGGCCGCGTTTGTGACGAAGAGCATCCTGAAGAAATTCAAAATCTGCCATTTCATCCTAAAGAAATATTGGTTTGTTGTGGTTTGTGAGGCGGTAGAATCATCGGTCCATATTTCTTCAGAAATGAAGCCGGTAAGAACGTAACCATCAATGGTGACCGTTATTGCGTCATGATAACCGACTATTCACTTGGTGGCATTTGATTTAAACAAGACGGCGCCACTTTCGGTGACCAAGTTTTGGACCAGCCAATTGGTGGTCACACGCCCTCAAACTGTTTTTTCTGTAGATATATGTAAATTCTAAAGTCCATGAACACAATCTCGCTTCGATTCAGCCCTTGGCTGCTTCACGCGTATCATTCGCCATTTACCAGTCGAAATGCTCGAACGAGTCATCGAAACTTGGACTCAACGGATGGACTAAGGAGAGGTTGCCGCGGTCAACATTTGAAAGTGATAATCTTCAAAAATAAATGCGAAAGAAATGTTCAGTCGAACGGTAATAAACATTCGCCATTAACTTTGAAGTTTCTGCGCTTTTTCTTTAAAAAAGTAGGAAACTTCGAAATTTCATTCGAGTGTTTCTTTATCTCTGAGGTATTATATTAAAATTAAGCATAAGCAATGAACCCTCTTAACGGTTGTAATTGAACATTATAGAGTTATATTTTAGATTTCAAGACCATGTGTTTACAATTTTGGTGATCTACATTGTACGAGAGCGTATAAGTACTTTGCCTCACCGCTCGATGGCGCCAAAGTCGGACTTGAAATCTGGTTTTGGTCGCGTGTAAAAGCGTGAAGCAATGTAATCGATTGGTGATTAATTGGACTGCGATTAGGGGAATTTACATATTGAAATCAGAGGGTCGCATGAGCCACGCCTAGCTATCTTATAACCGATTACCATGTAAGATTACGAGGCAAAACGTAACGACCTCATATTGGAAAACCTTCGCTTTGCCTTCGCATATCTCATATCCAGTATGAAAGCTGTCGACCATTTTGTACACTATGGACAATAAGTGCAAGCCTGAGATCACTTCTCAGCAGCTTAGAGTTTTTTCGCCGTTCTACTATTCTGAAGTATTAGGCCGACTCACCGCCGTATAGCTGAAATATCGCCTCATTGCTACCAGGAAATAATTCTCCTTCACCGCCAACACGGCCAAATTGGAAGAATAATGCTACTGACTGTAGCTCTAGCCATTGCATTCTCAAGTCCTTTTGGTTTTGTGCGACTTATTTTTGTTTCCAAACTTGAAAACGGTACTAGTTCGGCAGAGTTTTGAGATGAGGTTATCAACATTCAGATATCCAGAAATCGTAATGTTCAGACGCAATAAAGAAATTGCAGTATCACAGGGTTATCCATACTATATGTAGTCAAAGAGAGACCAGTTAAGAGTATACATTTTTGTTTTTTCTTTCTATCAACACGGTATTTTGTTGTATTAATAAAAATATTCATCTTGTTAACGTGAGAAGTTGGTTAACTTAGTAAAGCATAAACTAATTTAGCGCTTTCCTAATGGTTTTGCAATAAATATCTACGCTAATCAATATTTGTCGATATATTTATACTCATATTAAATATTCTACATACGTACATTTGTATATTGTTACTTCAGATTCCTTCCTCATTTCACTTACCTCATCACTTGTGCTGTCCGTCCGCGCCCGCTCACCTGCATCGGCAGTCGCCGCTGTGTTATCCGCGTCAGCGCTGCGCTTGTATAGGAAACGTGTTGGAATTTCTATGCATGCAATATTGTTGTACAGCACGGAGAATGTGATGACGGTCAGCCACAGCAGTAAGGGCGTCGAAGTGCAGCCGTGTCTCATATGCATTTTCGTTGCGTTTAAATTGTCACTACGCCTTTTCAATTTAACTATCAATCCGATATTCTGAAGTGTTAATGTTTTTAATTATTTACGGCCGTTTGGTTTTTACTTTCTAATAACTTTGTTTTTATTGTGTTTCTATCACAGTTTGGCACTTAAGTGTTGTGATAAAGAGTTTGAGACAGACAGCAGGCAGGTAAACACGTTCACATTTAGCAGTTTACATCAAGGGCTATTTCAACTAATGGACCTGTTTGGCTGCAAGTGATATTAAGATAAGTTGTGGATATAAGTGAATTAGTAATGAAATCAAATAAAAAGGGTTTACTTTTGATTTTTAGGTTAAATGTATTTATCACTTTCCACAAATTTATGTTTTCCTTTAGGATATTTACTTTTATTGAGCACTGTTGTGATTATTTAATTTATGCATAAGCGTCACTTTTCGTTTTCATTTCCTTTTATTATACCCTGAACAGGGCGTATTAAGTTTGCCGCGAAGTTTATAACACTCAGTAGAAAACGTTGGAGGCACTATAAAGTATAGAAATGATCAGCGTGATGAGCTGAGTCGATTCAGCCATGCCTCGCGTTATATATACGCGAACGAAAGACCAGTTTTGGCGATATTGAATTGAAATATTGCTAAAAAAAAAAATTTACCCGTGAAGGGTATCATACCATCGGAACAGTCGCAGTTACCGTTCTCTCTTGTTTTATTTACATACATACACTCTACAATTGTTAACATTTTCTAGCAACTGGACTTGTTGGTAGCCAGGAATGCGCACGCATGGTATTGACGCGCATGCGCACAGGTGTTTTGTTTATTTGTATACACACAGCCGGTTCAGTTGCTTGCTTACGACTCGCATACACAATACTTGTCTTTGTTTATGGTTTCTGATATGAGCTGGCGCATTGTTTAGTCTATTCTTCAAATATTCTGCTTTGTTTTTGTAAATTATTCGACAATAGTCCACTTGCCACTTGCCGGCGGGCATTTTTTTTAGCTGCTAAGCGTGTACGCAAATGCAGATTTATGTAAATATGTTTATATGTATGCACCGTAACTCATTTGTACAAGTAACACCTTGGCCGGGAGTAACCTTTTTGTGGCTTAGTGTTAGTTTAAACTGCTCTAGTGCTGCAAGCAAATATTAAATAGCTTCAGTCAAATGTTGGGCGTAAATATTGAATAAGCTTACGCCGGCGCCAAAGGTCACCTATGATAAGAAAGTGGTGAGCAGCTCTCTTAAGAAAACGTAAAAACTCTAGACATTCTTAACGGTAAACTTGAAATCTCAATGCCAAATATACTTCTAAACCCATGATAAAAATTGTAAATAATCGTAAACTTAATCCACATATAATGTCAAGGTATAGCAGCTGCAAGAAGAATATCAACGATGCTGGTGAGATCAGTAATTGGCTAGAAGGCAGAGGATAAAAAATTCATATAGTCGGTACTCTATGATAATTTAATAAAAGAATTTCTTCACTTAGTATATGAAAAGGTATGTAGTGCAGGTCGCCTCTAAGTTAGTGCATCTTGGGGAACGCTAAATGATCTGCGGCTTTCACGGCTTTTCAACTCCTGGACGACTTAGAACTGGATTATGAGTAAGATTAGCTCTATAGGATTTTGGTAGAACGCTGGGTTGGTAGTGACGGCATTCTGACACCTAAGTTTGATGGAGTGACACTCATCAGAAATGGCTGACGTGCTCTTGTGTTGTACTACTAATTAGCTGTCGCAAAATCTTTTTGGCACAAGGTCCATCGCAAGGTCTCTTTGCCTGCAGTAAAGCTAGCCTCTCGCTAGTTGTTTGGCTCTTAACAGCCCATTGGGCTTATTATCGCCCACGCAGTAAGGCTGGTAATCCTACCACACACCATCTAAAGAAGTTGTATGGAAAAAAATGTGGTAGAAACAACACTTGGGAGCGCATACCTTCAGGCATCCCATAGAACTGGCGAGAATGAAAATTAAGCGCCTGTGCAAATTTGTATTGGCTACCAAGCGTTTTACATTTTTAGAGAGTTTTAACTGCATTTAATAATGGTATGATTAAGGGCATGCCAAAATAAACGAAACATTGGAAATAACAAATACAGCAAGACGAAGATGCTGTCATTTATGTAGTAAAGTGTTGACAACCCTATAAAAACAAATCGACAGCTGACAGTTTAGACTTAGTAAAAATGGAGCGTTACACGATAGTACAAGGTGTCTTCATCATTAAACAAAATTTCAAAAGAACGAAAGAAAAAAATTAATACAAAATATCTATAGTGTTTTAACATCGTCAACTGCGAAGATTAATTGAAATGACGGGACATTTAAATCCTGCGTTACTTGGAAGCTTTCGAGAACAGAAAAAAACGAAATAAAGTAAAATAAGCATGGACAGTTTGCATAAGGAGAAGGAACTTAAAGCTAAATCACACAAGACATTGATGACAAGAAATTGTACGGATTTACGAATTATTATTTTAGACCTAAAAAAACTAAAAAAAATCAACACAGCTCTTTGAATTTATTGATTAATGTCTATTAACGATTTAATCAATAATTGGAAATTATGATAGATGAAAGCGAACATTTTTTATGGCTCTGATTTAGGGTCTAGGTAAAATTTTAAAAACTTTCAAATGGCCTTGATGGCTTCTTTACTGCTTAAAATTTAATCATAATTGTTAAAATTTTACATTTCACTGTAAAATGCAAATTATTTTTACACCACAGTAAATTTTTTCTCCCCAACATAGTAAAAAATCCGATATTTTGTAAATCACATTGTTTCTATCTGTAATAACCACGCTCTATCTTATCTATTTCTGCATTGTGCTTACAAGATTTATAACTTTTGAAATAAATCGGCTGATGATGATGTAAAATAACAGTGATTTCACATTCCAGGCTCTTATAAGGTATTTAAAATAACACCCACCAATAAGAGCACTATTAAAAAAATTATGTGTTATTTCACCATTTCGTAAACCTAAATGTTTACCTTGTGATTTATAACATTATTGGCAATCACTTGAATTTTGTTGACTTTGGTTTGTATGTGCGCATTTTGGCCAAGTTAGCAGCACAATCAGTTTCATTCATAATTTCTAGAGAAATACAATAATAATAAATAACTGATAAAAAAATAAGATTATGACTAATTAGGTAAAAATGTAGCGGTATTTCATGCTACTCAACTTGACATTGATACCAGTTTGCTTGGGTTGTTATCTGTTAGCGTTTAACGGCTTCAAAGCAGGTGGCCACATATTATGATGAAATTATTATACGAGGTATTGTAAAGCATTGACAAATGTCAATAACTGTAACATAGTACAGTATACCACCTGGTAGTAACGGGTGATTCAAGTAGGGTTACTTTATTCAATGACCTTTTTTTTGACAAATTACGTATTAGTCGTGTCAAGCTGTTATGTTATTTTTGTTCAGTACCTGACGAATAAGAAGTAAGGAAGAACTAAATTCCTTACTTCTTATTTGCTGTGGAAAATTTTTGACACGTACATATGTATGCATCTGGTATGTACAAGCGTTTGCAAAATCCAAGGGACGACCTCGACCGAGTGCTTTAACTTTGCAATCACTAGAAGGTATTTGCTTGGGGCGCTTTGCCCTTCGCCGACTTCAATTGAACGCGCCTGAAAATGCAACGAACGCTTGAGTGTTAATGTGTGCGTGCGTGCATGTTGTATTTGCATTTATGGAAACACAACAATAAATTAAATTTATTGCACAAACATACATACTTGCAGATATGTTTATTTGCATCTTTTCATGTACCTATGTATACGTAAATACATATGTATGTACATAAATGTGATATCCACTTATGCATTTGTGTGTGTTTGTGTGTCGTAGGATATTTGTTTCACCGTATGCGTTCACAATAAGCGAAGTCAGTGCTGATTAACCAACTCAATTGGTAATCTAAAGGCGGCTGTCAGAAATATTTTGTACATTGGTAAACATACTCTGGGCCCACAAAGGCACTGTTTTCGAAGGTCGATGCCTAAATCGGATCAAACTCTATGTCAATAGTCTTATCTATTTATAGTAACACACTAAATAATTATTAATTGCGTATTTAATGCACGTACTACACTTTTGTTTACTTACATATGTATGTATGTATATGTGTACATACATAATTAAGCAATTTAACGCATGAATCATAATCGAGCGCGCAGCTTGAGTGCAAATAGCTGAACGCATACTTATCATTAAGCCAATAGAAGGCTTACAAAAGAACTATTCGGTGCTTCCAATGGCGCTGCCAGAAGACTCCCTCCCGCCATGAAACATATATACATACATACATATATATATATATATATATATATATATATATACGTAAGTATGTAACATAACTCGCTTATGTTATGAATATTTCAAATAAACTAAATTTTTTATTGATAAAAAATACAAACAAGTTAACTTCGGCTGAACCGAAGCTATAATGCCATTCACTGCTGCATTCTTCATGACAATTATATACATAATTGAATCTAAAAATGTAACTGGCTGATATTGAACTTTCCGATAGGTCTTTTTAACTACGTGTTGATATAAAGAACCATGAATTCGAATTAAGGTTACTTATTAAAGGAAAAATAATCTTTAATAATATCTTTATCTTGGCTTTGGTCGATCTGGTTGTATGACAGCTACATTCTATAGCGGTTGTTGTTATTGTAATACGTACCTAATCTTAGGTTAGGATGGTAAGGGTTAGATAAGTTGTTGTCGAGGTGATCCTAACGGAAACGTGCAGTTTCGTCGGGGTCGGACCAAACGGAGAAGCATGTCAGATGAATAGGGTTAGCAGCACATGCAAAGAGGCTAATTATACGCTGGACATATGTTAGATACAGGGTTTGTACAGAAAGTAATAAGACTGAGTGGATTTAAAAGAATTGATTTAACCAATCTTTACAATTCTTTAAAAAACGTTTAAAAGAGGCTCCTTATGCGACGATGCAGCGCTGCCAACGCGATCCGGAATAGCCTTAAGAGCCGAGGTGCATGTTGCTTGGATTCACTCTATCATCTCAAAATGCTTGCCTTTCATCGGCATTTTCAGGAAGGGAAAAAAAGTTCGGGGGAGCCTCATCTGGGCTGTAGGGTGGCTACGGAAGCATTGGGATGCTTAGTTAAGTAACTGTTCACAAGAAAGATGCTGTAAGACGGGCCGTTGTCCTGTTGTAATTTCGAATCGGCGAAT